TTGTGATTCACAGCTCAGCCAAAAACATTTTAAAATAAGGGAATATGAAAGCTTATTGACATTGTATAATGTGTATTGAAAAGCAAGCAGATTATGTCGAAAAATGATGTATTTGTCTTAAAGTTGATTATAATAAATTATACAGACAGAATGAGGACAATTTTTAACTCATATGTTGTTGTAACCTTAATTTGCTTTTGTGGGTCTAATGTCTTTTGTTTCAGGTATTACAGTACAGTATTTTGACTGAAAGTAATCAATATACCCAGTTAGGAAATATTTTTAATCCTGGTTTGGCGTTGTAGGACAAACACTGAAGTGTTAACTGCAAGGTAGGCAGTTTAAATCTACCAACCACTCCTTGGAAACCCTATACAGGATTGTTATGAGTCGGATCTGACTCAATGGCACTTGACAACAACAACAAACGTATATAAGACTTGGCTACATTTTTGTGTGCTTATATGCAATAAGACCTTATTTCCATACCTTTTGATTATTGAATTGTGAGTGTGATTTTACATATGACCATATATCAAATTTAGATATATCTTCAGAAAACTACATTTATAATGAGAATGTTTGCTTCATTTGGTCTCCTGTTGGGCATGGCTTGCCTAAATATTTCTCCTTCTTCTCACTTTAAAATAATTGTCAAGAATCTGAGGTGTCTGGTTGTCACAAAGACCTTGCTAAGGTTAAAATTTTGCCTAGGTTTCCAAATGTTGTCACCATATGCCCAGAATTTTGTCTTTTGTGAATGAATTGAATGGTTTAAACATAAAACCTAGGTTCTTACTGCTCTAGACTATTGATTTAGCTAGTAAACACAAACAAAATCCACTTTCATCAAGTCGATTCTAACTCATAGTAACTCTGTAGAACAGAAGAGAACTACCCCAGAGTGTTTCCAAGGCTGTAAATCTTTATGAAGCAGGCTTCCACTTCTTGTATTCTCAGAGCAACTGATAGGTTTCAACAGCTGACCTTTTGGTATGCAACCAAGCATAAATCACTGTACAACCAGGACTACTAAATAACTACCAGTACTTATCATTACTACCATGTATCTGTTTCTCATACTGTGGTGGCTTATGTGGTACTGTGATGCTGGAAACTATACCACTGGTATTTTCAATACCATCAGAGTCATCCATGGTGGACAGGTTTCAATGGAGCTTCCAGACTAAGACTTTAGGAAGAAGAAGAGGTGGACCACTTCTGAAAGCTTAGCCACTGAAAATTTTATGAATAGCAGCAGAACATTATCTGGTATTGTGCCAGAAGAGAGCTCCTCAAGTTGGAAACCACTAAAAAATACGACTAGGGAAGAGCTGCCGCTTCAAAGTAGAGTTGACCTTAATGACATGCATGGATGGAACAAAACTTTCTGGACCTTCGTTTGTCAATGGGGCACAACTCTAAATGAGAAGAAACAGGTGTAAACATCATTATGAATCTAGAAAAAAATTTTAAGTCATCAAAAATTAAATTAAATACATAAAGATTTAGCATTGTGAGCTAAAATGAACTGGTATTGGCTATTATGAATCAGACATTCATAGGGTTTACTATAGTAGGAATGACAAATGGAAGAGAAATGGCGTAGCTTTCATCATCAAAAAGAGCATTTCAAGATCTGTCTTGAAGTACAGTGCTATGATAGAATATGTACATATGGTTATAAGAAAAAACAGTTAATACCACTATTATTAAAATTTTTGCACCAACCATTAAATCCAGTAATAAAGAAATTGAATCATTCTGTAACTCCTTCAGTCTGAAATTGAGCAAACTTGCAATCAAGATGCATTGATAATTATTGACTATTGGATGCAAAAATTGGAAACAAAATGATTCGTTATTTGGAAAATATGGTCTTGGTGCTAGAAATGATGCTGGAAATCACATGATAGAATTTTGAAAGACCAACAACTTGTTTATTGCAAATACCTTTTTCAACAGCGTAAGCAGTGACTATACACAGGGTCAGCACCAGATGGAACACACATAGGAATCAAAACCATTACATCTGTGAGAAAACATGGTGGAAAAGCTCCATATCATCAGCCAAAACAAAGCTAGGGTAGAACTTGCTCACATGCAAGTTCAGGCTGAAGCTGAAGAAAATTGAAACAAGTCCACAAAAGCCAAAATATGAGCTTCAATAGATCCCACCTGGATTTAGAGGCCAGCTCAAGAACAGATTTGATGCATTAGACACTAATGACAGACTGCAAAAGATTTGTGGGATAGCTTCAAGAACATCATGCATGAAGAAAGCAAAAGTCATTAAAACGACAGGAAAGAAAGAAAAGACCAAAATGGATGGCAGAAAAGACTCTGGAACTTGCTTTTGAATGTATAAAAGCTAAAGTGACTGCCCAAGAAGACAAAGTTTTATAGTGAAATGTGCAAAGACCTGGAGTTAGAAAACCTAAAGGGAAGAACATGCCAGGATTTCTCAAACTGAAAGAACTAAAGAAATGGTTAAAATCTCAGGTGGCAATATTGAAAGAGTCTATGGACTAGATATTGAAGGACTCAAGAAGCATCAAAAGAAAATAGAAGGATTACATAGAACTGCTGTCCAAAAAGAAATTGTCTGTGATCACCCATTTCAAGAAGTAATATATGAACAAGAACCAATGGTATTGAAGAAAGAAGTTCAAGCTGCACTGAAGGGTTTGGCAAAAAACAAGGCTCCAGGAATTGACAGAAAACAAATTGAAATGTTTCAGCCAGCTGAAACAGCACTGGAGGCAGTCACTTATTTGTGCCAAGAAATTTGGAAGACAGCTACCTGGCTAACTAACGGATTGGAATAGATCCATATTTGCTGCATTCCACAGAATAGTAACCCAACGGAATGTGGAAATCATCCATTAATATCACATGCAAGTAAGATTTTGCTGAAGATAATTTAAAAATTATTGCAGCAGTACATTGACAAGAAGCTGCCAGAAAGTCAAGCCGGCCTAAAAAGAGAACATGGAACAAGGGATATCCATTGCTGATCTCGGATGGATCTTGAATGAAAACAGAGAATACCAGAAAGATGTTTACTTGTGCTTTATTGACAGTGCAAAAGCATTCAACTGTGTGAATCATAACAAACTATGGATAACATTGCAAAGAATGGAAATTGCAGAACACTTAATTGTACCTACAAGGAACCTGAACATAGATTAAGAGACAATTGTTAGAACAGAACAAGGGGAAACTAAATGGTTTAAAGTCAGGAAAAGTGTGCATTAGCGTTGTATCCTTTCACCATACTTATTCAATCTGTATGCTGAGCATATAATCTGAGAGATTGGATTATATGAAGAAGAACATGGCATCACGATAAGAAGACTCATTAACAACCTGTGATATGCAGATGGCACAAGATTGTTTGCTGTAAGTGAAGAGGATTGAAGTACTTACTGATGAAAATCAAAGACTACAGCCTTCAGTATATATTCCACCTCAGTAAAGAAAATCAAAATCCTCACAACTGGACCAATAAATAACATCATGATAAATAGAGAAAAGATTGAAGTTGTCAAAGACTTCATTTTACTTGGATCCACAATCAATATGCTTGGAAATAGTAGTCAAGAAATCAAAGGACATATTGAAGTAGTCAGATCTCCTGCAAAAGACCTCTTTAAAATGTTAAACAGCAAAGATAATACTTTGAGGGTAAGGTGCAGCTAACCCAAGCCATGGTATTTTCAATCACCTCACGTGCATGTGAAAGTTGAACAGTGAATAAGGAAGGCCAGAGAAGAGTTGATATATATGTAAATTATGGTATTGGAGAAGAATATTGAAATTACCACGGATTTTCAAAAGAGCAAAGAAATCTGCCTTGAAAGAAGTCAGTCAGAATGCTCCTTTAGAAGTGAGGATGATGAGACATCATCTCTCATATTTTGGACCTGTTGTCAGGAAAGACCTGTGGCTGAAGGACATCACATTTGGGAGAGTGGAGCATCAGTGAAAAAGTGGAAGGGCCTTAATGAGATGGGTTGGCTTAGTGACCACAACAATGGGATCATACAATAATTGTGAGGGTGGTGCAAGATCAAGCAGTGTTTCTTTCTGTTGTTCATAGGGTTGCTATGAATGAGAACTGACTCGATAGTACCTAATAACATTTGTAATTAACTTGCTCACATATATTTCATATGATCAGAGAAACAGAATACAATCAATTCTGGCAGGGGAACAGGAGGTTTGGGGCATAGATTAAAGGGTTTATGAATTAATTATCTCTTCCCTACCAAGGCTGGTAACTTAATAGCTGGTGACCTGTAATTTACACTAATTTTCTTACATATTTCTTCCTTCTCTCCCCTACCCAAGAACCACATAAGAACACACAGACCCACTCGCTTGCACACCCACTAAGATTGAAGGATTTGGACTAAATTTTTGACACTGTCATTTCAGAAAAAGTAGAGAAGACAGGACTTTTTCATAATTCTGATCGCCCTAAAGTGGAGAGTCCATAATTTCTATGTAAAGTGAACTAGGGGACAGGAATTTTGTTAAACAAAAAACAACACCCCCCCCCAAAAAAAAAAAAAAAAAAAACCAACAACAAAACTTGTCATAAAGCTGCTATTTATTTGCTTGGTAGTTTTACTTAGATTGAATTTTTAATTGAGATGGCTTATCAGGTTGGTGCTGGCACAGTTTTTGGAGGAAAGTACTAATACCCTCCTGTCCACCCTATCTGACACCAGATTCCATTGAGAGAGTTAGAGGTAGGAGGAAGTTAGGAAGCAAGCTGGAGCAATTAAACAGCTGACAAATAACCAAAATTTTCCCAGGAGAGGAAGAAGTAAGTATTTGAAATTTAGCCTATAGAACTCTCTATTTCAGTGTATACATTTCTAAAATAGATTGAATTTTACTTGCTTTTAACTGTAAAAAGTACTTCTAAAACAAATTTTTATCGTGGAAAGACAATATTATAAATGTAATAAACTTTAACTCTTCTCTTTCAGTAATTTACTTGTCACTGAAGAATCAGCTAATAAATGCTGTATGGTTTGGCAATTAGAACGCTGCAGAAGTGTTTTGAAATCATTTTTGCTTACAGGTAAAACTTAATGCCAGAATGTTCATTGCGTTCAATAGAAGAGTATATGAAAAAGTTTTTTTAGTAATTCCTTTATATAGAAAATTTTAAGAGAATACAATTATATTTCCATATATATAGCTTATATTTCTAAGTTTATTTGTGAATTGGTTATAAAAATTGTATTAATGCTAAAAGTATATTACTTTAGTTAATGCTAGAATTGATTTTTGGAACTTATTTTTATAGTTTGTAACAAAATAATTTTGAAGTAAATATGAACAGTACATGTATATTCCAAGGTTATGTAAGTATGTTAAAATATTTTTCTGTGTCTGAAATATTTCACTATGAAAGTAGAATTCTGGATAAAATAGTCTTTTTAAAGAGTGAAAAATAATTATAGAAGCCAAAATCAAAGTAAAAACAGGAACTTTGGGAAGCAAGTGAATACCAAAGGTGGCTTTCAACTTGGAAGATTTCTACTAAACCCTGGAGACCTTGAGCCTCTGTTTTTATGTCTGTAAGGTGTTGTTGCTAAGTGCTTTCCAGTCAGTTCGGACTCACTGTGGCCCTATATAGAGTTTCTGAGGAGCAGTTGGTGAGTTTGAACTGCTGACCTTGTGATTCACAGTCCATTGCTGATACTACAGCACCACACTGCATGGTATATAGGGTAAACAATTAAACCTAAAGCTTATCCTAGGGAGAGCATTTACAGACCCTACGTAAGACTGAGTCCAACAAACCATCCTACCAAAATAAGAACATATAAGAAATAAACCATAGATGATAATAATGAGTAAATTTAAGAATTTCGTCACTGGTGCTGGAAGAAAGGAAAAGAAAAAAAAATATTTAACAAGATAATGAGCCATCATGGCAGGTCACAATGTAAATTCAAACTCCTATATGATTTGAAAAACAGCGAGTGATTCTAACTAGAAGTAATCTCAAGTTGATATTGCCCCCAAACACATAGAAAAACTAATGTAAATCATTTCTAGAGGAAAGTATGTTCTTTCTGGAGGAATGTAGCATCAACCCATACTTCAAGGAATTTTCAAAAAGTTTGAAGAAACACATAATAACAGACAAAAATCACAGAGATTTGGACATCATCAGTTAGAGCCAGCAGAAACAAAAGGCATCAAAATAAAATCACATATTGGAGTTGTCAGACAAGAGTATAATGTGTATTTAAAGCAAAAGTGCAGGAGAAGAAATATGAACAAAGTAACAAGAGACTAAAAAATGGCCAACCAAACAATCCAAATAAAAAATGAATGATTTGAATAGAAATGTCAAGGAAGATACACAAATGGTCAATAAGCACATGAAATCTGCTCAACATAATTTATCAAAACAACAAATATTGGCAAGGATGTGGATAAATTGAAACCTTCATCCATTGCTGGTTAGATTATAAAAATGGTTCAGTTTCTATAGAAAACAGTTTTTCAGATCCTCAAAAAGTTAAACTTAGAATTGCCATATGACCCTGCACTCTTAGGGTATACAAAGGAGTCTCAAAAATTTTGTGAGAAAATTTCATTATCTTTTAATGCTATTTTTCCATGGACTTTTTGAAACCCCTTCACATACCCAAAAGATCTGAAAGTAGAGACTTCACCAGATTCTTGTACACCAGTATTCACTGTAACATTATTCATAATAGCCAAAAAATGGAAGCAACCCAAATGTCCATCAGAGATAAATAAAATATGTATATATAGAGAATGGAATATTATTCAGTCATAAAGAGAAATGAAGTTCTGATACGTGCTTGAAAGCAGTATGATGAGTAAAATAAGTCAGTTACAAAAGGGCAAATATTGTATGATCCCATTAATATTAACTATCTAGAACAAGTAGTCCTGGTGTGGCGCTGTGGGTTAATGCACCAGACTTAAAGCCGTTTGACTGCAAGGTTGGTGGTTCAAGCTCACCAGTCACTCTTCGGAAGCCCTATACAGGGTCGCTATGAATCGGAACCGACTCAACAGCACTTAACAACAACGCCAACAATCTGGAACAAGCAAATGTGTAGAGTTAAAAGTAGATTAGTTGGTTAGTGTAGTCCAGGGGAAGGGAGGAATAAGGAATACTGCTTAAGGGGTACTGAGTTTCTGTTTGAAATGATGAAAAAGCTTTGGACATAGAGAGTGGTGATAGCTGCACAACATAGTGAGTTGTTACTGAATTATACACCTAAAAATAGAAGGAAGAGATGTTATAAAGGAGTATGACAAAATTTTGGAGGGCATTGGATATGCTATTCTGATTATGGTGATGATTTCATGAGCTTATTGTCAAGATTTAAAAATGCATACATTAGGATTTTGTTGTTGTTAAATACCGTAGAGTCGGTTCCAACTCATAGTGATCCTGCACAGGTTTTCCGAGGCTGTAAATCTTTACAGGAGCAGAAAGCGTCATCTTTCTCCTGCAGAACAGCTGGTGGTTTCAAACTGCCAACCTTGAGGTTAGCAGGCCAATTTGTAACCACTATGCTAATGCAAATTATGATTATGCATTTTTAAATCTTAATTTTTAAATAGTACTTTTTATAATATCAAGAACAAAAGTGATAATAGGAGGTACGGTTATCAATGATAGTAATTATTATTTACTAAAATATATACAATCTACTAAGTGCCTTATGTTATTCTCAATTATTCCCTAAAATAAACCTATTAAGTGATAACATTTTAAACAGCTTTATAGAAGAATAATTGGCATACAATAAATCATACATACTTAAAGTGAAATTTTACAATAAGCCCATTAAATCATCACCATAATCAGGGTAACATATCCAGCGCCCTCCAAAAATTTTGGAGTTCTGGTGTGGCGCTATGGGTTTATGCGCCAGACTGCAAAGCTGTTTGAACTTCAAGGTCGGTGGTTCAAGCTCATCAGCTGCTCCTTGGAAACCCTATACAGGGTTGCTATGGGTCAGAACCGACTTGAGGGCACTTCACAACAACAACAATCCTAATTTGGAGTTGGTTCTTGCTATCATAATAGCAATAATAATAAAACAACGATATAGCATTAAATAGTCATGCTACTTCAAATCCTTCATAAATTAAGATTTATCTTTATTCAGATTAAAACTTAATCAAGCAGGAAACTTTATACCATGGTATCTAATAAGATGTTGTTGTTGTTGTTGTTGTTGTTATGTGCCGTGGAGTCGGTTCTGATTCATAGCGACCCTGAACAGGGTTTCCGAGGCTGTAAATCTTTATGGGAGCAGAACGCCTCATCTTTCTCCCGCGGAGCAGCTGGTAGTTTCTAACTGCTGACCTGAGGTTCGCAGCCTGATTCGTAACCACTAGGCTACCAGAGCTCCATTCTAATAATATAGTCGTCGTAAAATATGGTCTGATATATCTGTTTAACTTATAATGAATTAGAGTTTCTGATTTAATATTTATCTGAAGTCTTCAAAATGTTATCAAATGTATTAATTTAGTAATTTTAAATGGTCACACAAAAATAATGGTTCCCTTTACTAGATATCAGGAATAAGTTTACCTTCTTCTTGTTACCAAACATTGAAATGAATCCTTTATATGACTTCTACTTCTGCAATACTTTAGATATCTGCAAATATTAACATCTTCAAGATCAAGTACTATATAAAACTTCAGCTTTCTTTTTCTTTATTTTTCTAATGTGTGGAAATATAGTTCATGAGAAGGAGTTTTCAGTGTAGCTTTATTGTGTTTTCTGTCTCCTTTGCTTTGTAGACTACTTTTGACTGTTTATTTTTGGGGAATTTCTTCCTTTTTTTTTTTTTTAAGTACCAAGAATTCCAGAGTCCAGCAGTCAGTCCTCAATTACAGATTTTAAAAAGATGCTTTCCATTGGAGAAAGAAGCCTTGTGATTAGTCCCTTAAGGGCAGAGTGGTGGAAGCAAACAGGACTAAATCTGATAATGACTGAAACTTTGGGACATCTAAATACAGATTTGTGTCACAATTATCTATCTTCTGGCGATACTAAAAAGGAGATCTTTTTGTCTACAAAATTGCTTCAATTAGACTGTAAGTACATAATAATAACTGTCACTTTTGTGAATGTTTTCAGATTGAAAAAATGTTAGAGAATGGGTTTCCTTTCACTAGATGATTCGGAAAATATAACTAAGTCTAGCATTCAGTATTGGCTTTGACTCTGTCAGAATTTAAGACCTTGGACTTCTTTAGGTACTACTTTCTTCCATGAGAAAATTTGGCCACTTATGGGGTTTATCGAGGAAGTTGTTATTAAGTGCCATCGAATTGGTTCTGACTCACAAAAGCAAGTTTGAATCACTGACCTTTCAGTTAGCAAACCAGTGCTTTCCTACCTTGCCATGTCAGGAAGTAACAGGTTGCTATTCAGTACCAGGAACAACTCAGGATACAGTTCTTCCAATCAGAACAGCCTCTTCTCCATCATGCCTGTAGGCAGGGCTCTCTCTGGCCTCTGTACTGTCAGGCAAGTGTTACAAAAGCTCTTTAGCTCCATCAGTAATTGCACAGGGAGAAGCCCACTCTGCCAGGAAGCCTCCAGCATGAAGGCTTTTAGTGGGTCAGTGCACCCACTGTGATTGCCTTCCTCCAGTGGGTCATCTCTCACCTGTCTCTTTTTACTGTTGCTTCCATTTTTCTGCTATTGCTTCTCACTGTCTTACACAATATCAGGGTTATAGTACACACTCCCACTCCCTGTCTACTGAATCTAGAGAGTTTTCAGAGCAGGGACCCCAGGGTCAAAGGACATACTCCTTTCCTGTCTCTTCCTCATAGTAGTAGTGAAGTCCCCGTGTCCACCTCTGGCATTGCTCATTTTAAGCCCAGCAAGATGGCAAAACTGACCAGCCTCTCATTAAGGTTCCATATGCCATATTTGTTTTGACCCACCTCATCTACATTTTAGCAAGCTGTCCAAACCCCTTGGTGGGCCACAAGTACCTAATTTGCATAGTTCCATCAGGCATTTGCTTGGACTTACATGATCATATAAAAACAAGAAAGACCATATAAAAGCTACCCATCACACTGCATGTGCTTATATATTATAAAAAATATTTTTCAATGTGAAGCCGATGTCCTCCCATGTGGACTATCACATAATTCACAATAAAGCATTAAATATATATAGAGATCAAATATTTTGCTAATATTTTCATTGGGTTGCTTTCTTTAAATTGAGCTGTAAGACTTTATACAAGAAAGCTTTAAAACGTTTGGAAAAATGGAACTGAAAAACAATGGAATTTTATCGCAAACTTTTTGAAGCCCCTTTGTGTGCATTGTAAGTATTTTCTCCTACTCTGTAACTTCCTAGTGCATAAATCTGTAGCCCTTGGAGTAACTATTATTTCCAAAGCTGTGACTCATTGCAAACCTATTGGCAAATAGAATTTTTTTTCTGTAATTCTTTCTTTGCTTGGTTGTTTAGGTCCTATAGCAAGAAAAAGCTATACTGAATTTTTGTTCCTTTTTAAAATGCATTTTCTATAGAGACCAAAAATTTATTTTCAAAATTATAAGCAAAGTATTCCTAAGGGTCAAATTTTATTAATAAGAAACCACAACTAAAAATTATCCTAATAGAATACTCATTTAGGCATAGAAATTATCTGAGTATTTTTGTTTTGTTCTGTTTTTAGCATCGCTAGAACATAAAAGTTGTTCTTCTATTAAATGTATTAAAGAGAAATCTGCAGATGATCATTTATCACTTCCACAAAAGAGTCTATCACTGGCAAAAGAAATAGCACCTCTGTGTTTTCCTAAATGTATCTCTGATAAAAGACCAACAAAAGAAAAACGAAAGCATGATCCAGAGCTAGTTCACAGAATAATACAAAAGAAAGAAAATAAAGATTATGTTGAATTTGACTGCACAGTACCATCTAATGAATCATGTTCTTCAAGAATTGAAGAAGTGTCTATTCAATATGGTAAAAAACAAGAGGATAGCTCCGACTTTTTGAGCGACTTTATTATGCTGCGAAATAAATATGAGGCTTGTACCTCAGAGACAGAAATCATAAATAGTAATGAAAAAGATGGTGAGTAATTTAATAACATTTTGCTATAGATATGATAGGGTCAAGGACTAAAATGCTTAATTTATTACAGAAAGCAAAGAAATGAAACTCTTTAAAATAGACATTATTTTTCATAGTCAAAGAACGTATTAGTCAACTCTCATTATATGAGAGTACTTTAAAAAGTTTGTGGCTAATGGAATGAAAAGACAATGGAATTTTTCCACAAACTCATACTTGTTTACTAAGATGCTATGGATGTACATAATATATTTTCTATACAGTTAAACAGTACATTTAAATTTGTAACAAAAACTACTACTTTCAAAGCTTGTTTTCTGAAATTTGTCCAGACAGATTTGCAACTTATGTTGGTTATTCTGCCATTCTCTTTTCTTTTTAGTTGTCATTTTATCTTAGTATTTTGGCATGTTTTAATATGTACTTATAGAAGCTATTTTCTCACTTAATTTCTTATTATTCTTTTTAACCTCACAAAAATGTTTCTGTTTGAGTATATAATTATCTTACATTCACTGTAGTATGTGTGTCATATCCTTTCATTTCTGGTAAGGACTAGGCATGGTAGAATAAGTTTGACATAGGCTACCCTGATAGATTGACACAGGACACTTTGGAGTCCTGGTATGGCACTATGGGATAAGCAATAGACCACAAAGTCAATTTGAACCACAAGGTGGTGTTTCAAACCCACCAGCAACTCCTTGGATATACTGTCCAGGGTTTCTATGAGTCGGAAATGACTTGACAGCACTTAACAACAACAACCACAACCCTGATACAGTAAATGTACACATAAATATTTATGTGTTAGACGTAGCACACTTAGTCTTCACTGCTCTATATACTAACAATGTACACAAGAGCTTCAGTCCATAATGTTATAATGGTTACCTTTTCGAAAGATGTGATGGCCTTTTATAGGTCTACTTAAAGTTCTTTTACTTTATCAATCAGTGCATTTCCCACAGTGAGAAAATGTACTATTCAGTGTATTTCCCACAGTGAAAAAATGTAGTATTCAAAGATTTATTAATTTTGTGTTTATATATATATATCATAAAATTTTTATGTAATAGAAAGAAATTTATTTTTATGTAACTGACCATTATTTACATAGTCTTAGAACATAATTTCTAACCACTATTTACATAGTTACTTAGAACATAATTTCTACATAAAGGAATAAAGAAAATACAAAGAATTGTCTTATAAATATGATACAGAAATAGGAGTTTTAAAAAGATTATTGTAGATCTGCAGTATTTTCAGATTCTATTTTGAGTCAGATCTGACTCAACAGCACTTAACAACAACAATAATTCATATTTACAGTAAAAAATGGGAACCTCTCCAAAATTGACACGGACATCGTTTTTTGGTTGTTATACTTGAAATAATGGCTTATGATAAGGTATATTGACAAAAGGAAATGAGGGAAAGCAGCAAATAAGGTAAAAGAGATAAAAACAATGCTTCCCTGTGAAAAGTAGTCATTAATAAACAATAAAAGGGAATATCAAAAAGTATTTCTACTATGATTCCAGTTAATACATGCAGGGCTTTATCCCAAATAAAACATGTTTAAACATTTAATCAATAAATGGCTGCAGACAAGTTCTCTCAGTAATACATTTGTGTTTGTCTCACTTAAAAAAAGAAATGCCTTCAAAAAAGGGTCCAATCAAAACAGTGACTTCATGGGGGATCTGCTAGGCCAGTTAACTTCAAGGCAGAAAGGTCAACTCAAAAGATTATGGTGACTCTTTTGCGGGATCTCAGAGGAGTAATCTTGATAGATTTTTTCAAAAGACATGGGTGATCTTGAGATCTTACCATGGAGAAGCTTAAAAAACAGGGGAAACTGTATTGGTGGAAAAAAAGCCAGGAAAATTGCACTGAGGAATTACTTTCCATGTAACAATGTCTCTACTCATTCTTCAAGGGTAGCAAGAACTGTCCTATGAGAATTTTATAGGGAAACCTTATCCTAGCCACCCTACTTCCGTAATCTTGTCTCTCCAGACTTCCTTTTTTACCCCCAGACTCAAAGAACTTTGAAAAGGAACACAGTTTAATCCCTGAGGGTGCCCAAACTGCTGTTTGACATGTGTAACTTGAAGAACACAGAATTCTTTGGGGAAGGGTTAGAAAGATGAAAACACTACTTTCACAAGTATATGGTCTTAGTTGGAGGACATGTGGAAGAACAATAGCTTCACATTTTGATATTTTTGTTTAAGTTCCTATGATTTTGGAGCAATACTTTTTGACTTACCATCGTGGGTGTGTGGGGGTGTGACTTTTCAACAATACTTAGGGAAAGAAAGAAGAAAACTGCAAACAGATAACTTAAATACATTGTTATAAGTGGCAGGAAAAGGATATCCACTGAGTAATAAGGAAGCAAAAATGAGGGGCACTTTGCTGGACTAGATGTAGAGTGGGCAGTTACATAAGCCTTCTTATAGAAGGTAACTAACTGATAGCTGAAATGTGAGTTAAGGATTGGTCTACTTCCTTAAACAGAATGACAAACATAAAGACTTTAGTAATAGAGTTGAAAACTATTACACAAGTGTCACCATTATTATAGAGAGAATTGTAACAACTTCAATAGTAAAAAAACAAAAACAAACTATGAAGTAAAAAAAAACAACAACACGAATTTACCTACTTAAGAAAGAATGGAGACAGGGAGGGCTTGGAATACATGATTCCTAGCAGAAGGAAGGGTGTGTGGAAAGTCAGAAAAATGAAGTATAATGGTCTGTGCCTTTTGTATATCAAGAACTCCATTTACTATTTAATCCTTAAAGTGATATTCAAACTAGGTGTATTTATTCATATTTTATGCATGAGGAACTAAGATTGGAACACTGGTCTGATGCCAAAATTTTTTCCATTATACCATTCAGCTTTCTACGCATAGCAATTTTAGATGTAACTGAATAATTGTTCAATTTAATACTAATGTGTTCAAAGAACTTTAGCAATTTTACCATATATTAGATGAAAGTATTTAAGTAAAGCAACACTAAGTTTCTCATGAACAGTGCATCTTAATTTTTTTTATTAGAATTTCAAGTTAAAGAGGAGCATTCTTTGACTCTTCAAAAGGAAAGTCCTATTGTTTGTACTAATAAAAGCCTAGAAAAAAGAAATCAGGAAAGGGGAGCAGATAATGTCATTGAAATTCAAGCATCAGGTATGGTATAGGTTTTTAAATGTGATAGCCCTTCCTGGGTATCTGGGACATAACTCATTTTCTATGTAATATTCTTCACTGTTTCAGATATATATGTGCAAAGTTGCTTTCATTTCTTCATTACATTCATATTTCCAATTATCTCCAAACTAGGAATGACGTCTTCACTCCCTTTGCTCCTTCCCATATTCCTACCCCAGTTTAAACTTTCATTTAAACTGCTGCTGCCTCCCTAGAATCATCATGGAAAAACAAAATTCTTCCCAGCTGGAAAATGAGCTGTTGGTGATTGCCCTCTCTGTTCTTTTACCTTCTATCAGGGAGCTGTGAATAAATTGCTATTGATTCCTATAGAGATTAAGATTATATTCTGTTATAAAGAGTATTTTTTGATTACTAAAGAACAACCTACTTAAGAACATAATGGTCATTATTAAAATGAATAAGGAAATACAGTACTAGTTCTTGAATATCTTTTCCTTCTTTTGGTTCAAGTTTATTTATGGTCTCTAGATGGCTATTCCTGGAACCCTGGTAGCACTGTGGTTACTCACTTGACTGCTAACCTAAAGATCAGAGATTCAAACCCACCAGCCACTCTGTGTAGGTTGCCTTTGTGCCACCTCATCATTTTTAACTCCAAAAAGAATTTGGATAGAAATTCAGGTTTTCATGAAGTAACATGCTTTGATTGGTTTGCAGAAAAAGTGTGTACCATCTTTATAAAAACATGAGTTGTAATGCATTTATTTCGTAGATAGCCAGTGCCAAGCATACTGTCTCCTAGAAGCAGCAGCTACTCCTGTCTTACAAAAGCTTGTATGCCTCAGTAATGTCCCTGCTGCTAACTGGAAATTTGCCACTATTATCTTTGATCAATCAAGGTTTATGTTAAAGGAACAAGAAAAAGTAATAAGTGATACTATTCACCAAGGTGAGTACAAATAAAAACCACATTACTTAAGAGAATATAAATTTATTAATTATTATAATGCATTGTAAACTTGAGTATAGAAAACACAAAAATTACATACTTATGGATGAAGGCATAACTGTAATTCATATTATTATAAAACAAAACTAAGAGGATCAACTAAGAAAGGAGAAAAAATTATGAAATATCACTTGGCATTTCTTCATCGAGAGCCTCCTAGTTGACAGTATAGCACTTGACAGACTCCTCTAATAGCAACCAAATTAACCCTATTATTGTAAGCATCTGAACCATGCAATTCCCTCCAAAACAAAGGGAGGGAGATGTCTTAAAAATAGGTTTAAGTCATTCCTGGACTTTTTACTTTCAGCTAAGATAGAGTAACAGGGATTAGATGTACCCTCTTGTTTGAAATAACTAACAAAAACAGACCAACCACATAAAATCACATAGTAAGACTGGACATTAGGCAATGAAAAACAGTGCATCTTAAGAGATGGAGTTGAAGAAGCATAGCTGAGAGTCTGAGGAAACCAAGGCAGCTAGAGTTCACAGGATGGAGTGATAAGAGTCCTTCAGAGAGAGAATTGGGGCAGGTACTCATTAGAGCATGTATGTGAGGAAACTAACTAAGGTCACAAATGCAAACTACCTGAAAGGATTGTTGTTGTTAGGTGCCATTCAGTCAGTTCCAACTCATAGCAACTTTATGCACAACAAAACAAAACAGTACCTGGTCATGTGCCAACATCACAATTCTTATTACCCTTAAGCCCAGTGTTGCTGCCACTGTGCTAATCCATCTCCTTGGGCATAACCCTCTTTTATGCTGACCCTCCACTTTACGAAGCATAATGCCCTGCAGGTACTGGTCTCATGATAATATGTCGGAAGTATGAGAAACAAAGTCTCACCATCCTGCCATCTGAGGAGTATTCTGGCTGTAAATCTTCCAACACAGATTTGTTTGTTCTTCTGGCAGTCCATGGTACTATATAGAGAGATTGAGATAGAGATATGAGCACGGTGGTTCCATAGGATGAACACTGGACTGAAAGCCACAATGTCAGAGCAGTGATATCCCTTGCCCCATGTCCTCATCTGAATCTGGATTGAACCCCTGGTAGTTCCCTGTCAATGTACTGTTGTAGCCATTTTTGAATTGTCTTTGGCACAATTTTACTTGCGTGTGATATTAATGATATTATTTGATGATTTCTGCATTTCATGGGGTCACTTGTCTTTGGAATGCACACAGATAGGGATCTCTTCCAATTGGTGGGTAAGGTAACTGTCTTTCAAATTTCTTGACATAGATGAATGTGCTGCATCAGCTCATGGAAAGATTTCAATTTGTATTCTGTTAATTCCTAGAGCTTTGGTGTTTACCAATTCCTTCAGGGCACCTTGGATTTCTTTCTTCAGTGTCATTGGCTCTTAAACATATTCTACTTCTTGAAATGGTTGAGCATCAACCATTTCTTTTTACTAGTGACTCTGTATATTCCTTCCATCTTCTTTTGATACTTTCCAAATCATTCAGTTTTTTGCCCCTAGAATCCTTCAGTATTGTAAGTCGCGGTTTTAATTTTTTCCTTAATTATTTCAGCTTGATATATTTGATATACTTTTATTGGCCCCAGAATTGAGGTAAGGCTAAAACTACAAGTAAAGATTAAGTAAACCCACATTAAAAGAAGTCAAGCAGATCATTTCCACAACAGGTTTCTTATTCTATACTCTATTTTTCATATTATTTTATATTCCAGTTCCTCAAATCTGTTCTTTTGGCCTGCTTTCATCCTCTCTAAATCATGACTGACTTGTTTCCATAGTTCTTCTAAGGGCTGGATATAATACCAGTAATTGAGTCTCCTATTGCCTCTGATTCCAACTGCCTACTACATAGTTTCCTTGATCTTCATTGACTATATCAGCAGTTTTCCAACTTTTTAGCACAATTCTTTGTTCAACTAGAAATTTAATTGGATCCCAATATATAAAAGAAAAGTGGAGCTACTCTGGTTAAATGGAGGCAGTGATCCTAGAACCCCATCTTCTTGTTCTCATTTTTATGTAAGATTAAAGTAAGATTAAGCCTGTCATCTTGAAAATGCTCTGGAGCTACATATAACGTACTAATTAGGCAACTGGCCATTCCTTGTGAATACTTCTTAACCATTTGGCAAGTTATATATTTTGTTTTCTCTTTGTTTCCTAACTAAGAATCATTGAACATTTCCCCACCAAGGTTAGAAATCACTGAATATTCTTGGAAGCATCAAGGGCATAAACTCTAAAGTTAGCTGTGTGGGCTTAAATGCCATTTCCACCATTTATTTACTAATTGACCTATAGGTACTTAACCTTGTTTAGATTATTTTCTCATCCAAAAAATAGGAAGAATATAATAAACTTGCCTGATAGGGTAGTTGTATGGATTCAATGAATTATTCAGCTTTGTTCAGTCTGGCACATAGTAAATACTCAATAATAAATATTAGCTATTATTATTTAACATTTCTATGTATATTCTAAAATTAAAATATATATTGTATGTTTTTGCTCACTTAGGTATAAATGATGAAAGAGAAATGACATTCAAGCATGTTGCTCTCTTACATCTTCTGGTAACAATTAGAGATATCCTTTTAACGTGTAACTTGGACACAGCATTAGGTTAGTTGGAAAATTTATATATCTGCATTATTTTTTCCTAGTGAAATATTTCACCTAAAATAAGCTTTAAAAAAAAAAACACCTTATAAGAAATTATTGACCTTTTATTTTTATTACACTAAAACTTATGTATATTTTGACATAAATGGAATATATGCTTGATTTGGTTTATATTCATAAAAATTATTTATTTTTATGAATATAAACAGAACCTATCATTATCTATAATAATAGATTCTATCTGTAATTGAGGCCAAAACTGGAGTCCTAATGGCCTTAAGCAGAGTTGATTTTATAAACATTGTATACTACTGTTATTTTATATGTATTAATTTTATTTATTTGCTGTTGTACAAAAACATGTATATAACATTTTTAAATATAACATTTTTCCAGTGTTCAACTGAGTGGCATAAATTACAATAATCATGTTGTGCAGCCATCACACCTAATTATTGCCAAATTTCCCACTGCTTCCTCAACGTTGACTCCTTTCCCATCCTTCTTTCTCCTTGTCACTATTGATAGACTTACATTATACTCTACCTTTAAATGGAAGATCTGACATTTGCCATACACATATTGGGGGCTTAATCAATGTTTGTGTCAACGAATCTTTGCTAGATAAAATATAACTAAATTATAAGTAGTAAGTTCTTTAGAAATTTCCTTTTTTTAGTGTACATAATTGTGTGGATAAATTTGAAGGTGAATTACTTTAGTAATTTTAAAAGTCAACTGTTTTTAACATGTGCTAGAAATTTGGGGCATTTTTTTCTAAACTATCAAAATCATTTAAATATTTGTTTTTCTACATTATTGCTTTAGGCCCCCACTTGTAGGAGTATTTAGACTTGTTTAATAATGTTATTCTTATAAAATTATGTTTTATAATTTAGAGTTTCTAGAACTTGTTTCACACATGAAATTAAAATAAATTTCCTCTGAACTATAACCCAGACATTCATTTGGAGCCAGATATTATAACTAATTTGCCACTAACTCTAGAAAGCCCAATATGGTACTTTTCCTTCCCCCCCCCCAATTAAATTACTTGGTTGTTGATGCTGGACCAGATTATCATTCCTCCATCCCCAGACAAATAAGGATTAGTACTATAGTCCTACTTTGTAATATCTTCTATATCTTTTGAAATCAAGGGACAAATTAGGTTGTCTTTCTTTCCTTCTCTCTCTTTATTGGTAGGGGGAAAATGGTTTATGGGAGCTGGCTGCCTTCTCTGCTCTCTACCAGCTATCTATATTTTCTTCTAGCTTCCAGCATGCTATGGACCCCTAGGTAGCAAGGCATAGTGTTTCCCTCTGGAAACTTTAATCTGGAAGTAAACTTAGTATAGTGTAGTGTGAGGGAGGGAGTTGTTGTTAAGTGTCATCGAGTCAATTCTGACCCAAAGTGTTGCTGTTAAGTGCTGTCAAGTTGGTTCCAACTCAGAGACCCTGTAATAGGGTTTCCAAAGAGCAGCTGGTGAATTTGAACCACCAGCCACCCAGTATATAGAGTTTCCAAGGTGTGGCTGGTGGGAGACCGAATATTAAAAAATAAAAATAAGTGGGAGTTTCTCACTGCCAACTAGAGAAACTATAAAGAATATTCCAGGAAGAATTAAGAACTTCAAGGAATGGTCCACTTTGGGGTGCTACAAATAGTTCCTTATGGCTGGATTGAAGAAAACAAGGTGGAAAGTAACAAGATTTAAGCCTGGAGAAGTAAGCAAGAGCCAAGTCTTGAAGACACTTTACTAAAAAAATGTAGGGGTTTTGTTCTGTAGATGACAAGGAGACATTTAAACAATGATACTACTAGTTTAGATTAGTCTTTTGGAAGATTAAGTCTGGTGGCCGACTTCATTGGGAAGTTAGTAAAACAGGAAGCAGAAACCAATAGGATAATCACTAAATCAGTCTAACAGTAATAATATAAAATTAGAATTAATATGCACATTAAACATAAGGCATTAGCATTCATATTTTTTTAAAGTATTATTTCATTGAACATCGGATCTACATAAATTATTATGCCAGGTGCTCTGTTGAAGTAATTCATATAACTCTCTGTGCAGCAGAATCACCTGGAGAGATTCTTAGGCAGAAATTCCTGGGACACAATCTAGATTTACTGAATATGAATCTTTAAAGATAGGTCTCCAAAATCTTTATGCTTAAAAATTGCCCTTAATGAGTGAGTCTGATTTTCAGCACTGATATTTAAGCAGCTATACAAAAGTTAATATATAAAAATACCATGGATCTGATCCTGAAAGCTAATTGACTAGTGAGCTTAAGTCATAAATAACCAAAAACTAAGCAGAAAGTATTACATTGCACAATAATTGTATAGATAGAATACCAAGAAAATACTAATGAGGTGACTTTTTAACTAGACCAGCATGTAAGTATAGATCCTGGGATTTAGGAAGACTGCAGTGGCATTCATTAAGCCATGTTGTTATTATTGTGTGCCATCCAGTCAATTCTGACTCATAGCGACCCTATTTGATGTTGTGGAACTGCCCCTATATGGTTTCCAAGGCTATATATAAACTTACAGGAGCAAATGGCCGGGTTTTTCTCCCTCAGAACCCCTAATGGGTTCAAACCACAGACCTTTCCAGTTAGCAGCTGAGTGCTTAGCCATTGTGCCACCAGGGCTTCTCAATAAGCCATGTTATTGTTTTTCTTTTTGAGTGCCATTGAGTTGGTTTCGACCCATAGTGACCCTATATAGGGTTTCCGAGGAGTGGCTGGTGAGCATGAACCACCGAATTTGTGGTTCAAACAACTTTGCAGTACAGTGCATTAACCCACATTACCACACCAGGACTCAAAAACTGTGATATATTTAGATAGTATATTGGATATATTAAGTATATTTGGGAGTCCTGGAATATCACTGTAGGATAAGCACCTGACCACAAGGTCAGTTTGAACCACAGGTCAGTGGTTCAAATTCACCATCCACTCCTTAGAAACCTATACAGTGTCACTATGAGCCAGAGCCAACTTGAAGTTACTTAACAACAACCACAGTTCAGTATATTTGGTGTTATGTAGCTTAAAAGAAACATTTGGTACACATTTTTTTAGTTTCAGTTTTAAGGTTTTTGTTTTGTATGTGTGTGTATATGTATGTATGTTCAAGCTCAGAAAAAGATTGAATGCAATTTAAACTTTTTTCATTTTGACTCTTTTATTTCCTTTCAGTGTTTTACCATGGAGTTGCTCAAAGGACAGAAAGACATGCATTTTTTTCTATACTTTTGTTTTTAACAGGATATTTATCAAATGCAAAAGATGTCTATGAAGGCATTTTGGGCTCTGATTTGGATGATATTTGGAGACAGCTAGAAATTGTACAGTTTATTAAGGAAAAAAATCCTGAAACTAATTACAAGATACAAGAATTACAATGTCAGCTACTAAGTTGGATGCAAATTCAACAACAAACTAAGGTTAATATTTAGAATAAAGCATATAAAACTAATTGATTTAAATAAGAGTTGGATATAAGATAATAATTTTGTATTTAACTTTGAAATTATTAATAGCCTATGTACTATTTGGCCCTTTGATGGTGTTCTTCTTAAGTAAGTCAACAGAACAGAATTAGACTAACAGATAAGATGATTTGCATCTTATCTATGTCTTGAATTAACAAGTACTTTAATTTTGATGAGTTTTCTAAAGACTGGCTCTCCAGTTTTCAAAGAGTTTTCCTGATACTTATAAGTCCATGGACGTATACACAATCACAGAACTACAACAATTTATTTTTAGATACTGAACAAGAACCTCATGTGATTTTTTTTTTTTTTTAAGTAGTAAATGTATGCCTTGGATTATATTAGAAATTATTTGCCCACCGTATCTCAAGAGTATTAAGGTTGTATTAATGAATATTTAAAAGAAACTGTTTTTAAAAATCTTATCAAGCAGATAAGTACTTCAAATGGTTTACACTAAATCTGAATACAAATTTGTATGGTCTTTTCTTTCCATTTTTGTTCTTCCCTATACCTTAATCCCCAGCTTTGTAGTTTCTTGGATAACTTACTTAAGTCATTAAAATAGAATCATTGAGTAAGAAGTTTAAAACTGGAACTGACTTGCTATCCTTAAAAGCACACAAAATCCCTGTATTATATTATAAGTAGCAAGTTTTGGTTTTCTTTAAAACATGTCTGGAGTAAATTTAACCCTAACAATACAGACAAAGACAGTGAGCATATGTATTGTTGTTGTTGTTAAATGCTGTGGAGTCTATTCCAATCCATTGTGACCCTGCATAGGGTTTCCAAGGAACAGCTGGTGAGCTTGAACTGCCAACTTTGCAGTTCAAACTGACTTTGCAGTCCAGTGCCTTAACCCACAGCACCAAACCAGGACTCCATATGTATTGCTAGGGTAACCTATGTGGGAATACTTGAAGAATGCTAAGAATGCCCTGCCCAAAAACATTTTCCTCAATGGATGCTTGATCTTAACAAAAATGTATACCTTTGTGTTTACATGCTGACAATTTTTAAAACATAAATACTTACTTTGTAATCTTGTTGTCATTGGTTTCATGTAACCAGTTGTTTGCTATTTCTTCATTGTATCTAAACTAATAACCATTCAGATATTCATATATACAAAATCCTTATTTTTTACTAGGTGCTGATTATAATAAGAATAGATTCTGACGGTGAAAACTATTTACTCGTTAAAATTCTTAACAAAATAGAAGGTAGGAAGTTTTAAATTATTTTTCATTTGATAACAAATTCTTGCACATATCAAATTATTGATCTCACCAGTTTCTTTATTAAGAAATAATTCATATTCCATGAAATTTACTCTTTGCAAGTGCAATTCAGTAGGATATTACTAGTTTTTAAATCAATCACATTTGCATTATAAGTATAATATAAACCCATTGCCATGGAATCAGTTCCAACTCAAAGTAACTCTATGATATATGTTATTAATAATTGAACACCTTTTATTTACTTCCTATCGCCATTGTTGTTGTTAAGTGACATAGAGTCAGTATATGGTTTCCGAGGAGTGACTGGTGAGTTTGAACTGCCAGCCTTGTGGTTCAAACCAACCTTGCAGTCCTGCACTTACCCTACAGCACTTCATACATACTGTTGTTGTTAAGGGTCATTAAGTCAGTTTTGACTCATAGTGACCCTGTATAGGGTTTCTGAGGAGCAGCTGGTGAGTTTGAAACTCTGACTTTGCAATTCAGAAGACATTGTTGTTTAGTGCTTGTTGTACAACACCACACCAGGACTCCACATTACCTACTAGTTGCTAAAATACTGGCTATTTACAGCAACTCTACGAGTAGGTTTTACTAAATCCATTACAAATAAAGACTGTATAAAGGTGATGACGCTTGTAAGTAGTGAGGGAGTCAGGATTTAAACCTATCAAATAAAGTAAGAATGAAATTATTAAGCATTGTCCTTTGTTATATCACACTTTTATCAACTTTGCAGTTGTCAAAGTGCACTAACAGATTGTACAATTTATTTGCATTAAAATTAGCTATTCGGAGCCCTGGTGTGGTTCTGTGGGTTAATGTGCCAGGCTGCAAAGCCGTTTGAACTGCAAGATTGGCAGTTCAAGCTCACCAGCTGCTCCTCGGAAACCCTATACAGGGTCGCTATGGGTTGGAATCGACTTGATGGTACTTCACAACAACAACAACATTCTTAGATAGTCAGCCGCTCCACAGAAGAAAACTGAGACTTTCTGCTTCTGTAAAGATTTACAGCCTAGGCAACCCAGTACAGGGTCGCTATGGGTTAGAACCGATTTGACGGCACTTAAGAACAACAAATTCTTAGATAAATCATGTCTGTAAAAAATAAACTGTGTACATGTGTTACTTAAAATTTTTTTTTATTATATTCTGTTAAAAATAAGTAAAATAAATTTGAATTATAATTAAGAAACAAATCTATCTAAGAAACAGATAATATCTAGTAAGTCTTCTGCCTCTTCTACAGAGAAACAAAAAAGCATTCTTACAACATTGAAATGCAATCTCTTACTTTTTAGTTGTGTACTTAAATTGTTGGCTAATGAAAGGATAAAATCCCTCACAATTTTTAACAAAATAAAATTATCTGCACAGATTTGGTAAGCATTCAAATTTGTTTACTTTAAAATTAAGTTTTGGTCCATTTTATTATTTCACATAATATATTCAGAATTTTCATATTCTTCATACACACATATACCAGAAATATTGCTTAGTATTTGAACTTTTGATATACTTCAAAATATATTTATCCAGAAAATTATATTTTAAGGAGTTTACTCATTCATTCTTTAATTCACTTTTTATAGTTTCAAAGTACATGACACACCAAAAAAAAAGTATATATGAATGTTGTTGTTAAGTGCTGTCAAGTCAATCCTGACCCATAGCGACCCTGTATAGGGTTTCCTAGGAGCAGCTGGTGAGCTAGAACCTTGCAGTTCAGATGGCTTTGCAATCTGGTGCGTTAACTCACAGTGCCACACCAAGACTCCATAAATGAAAAAGAACATAGAAAAAGCTTTTTTATATTACTCTTTTTTTTCCTACCAGGTTTAAAATTGACTGTCTTTGATTCAAATGAAAGAAATAATTCCCTGGAATCTGAAGATGTATTAAATGGGTAAAAATATATTTTGTCATCTATGAATAACAAACATACAAATTCCATAGGAAATTCAAATTTCTCCTAGAATTTAACTTTAAAAAATGTTTAACAAAATCTAAGATTAATCAACGTGTTTATCCTTTTCTTGAAAATGCTTTATGTAGAACACTTTAACTGAGATCATTGCCTGTGTATTGCATTTTATTGTTGTCCAGAATATTGGTTATACCTTGTTTTTATAGCCCCAAATTATCATTGTTAATGTTTTTGTTAGTACAGGAAGTGCTTTTTTATATTTATACTTGTTTTAACCATTTATTTGCTTAGCGCTTTTACATCTTCCTTTCTTCTGAGTTCTCCTTTCTGAACTGCATCCGTTAGCAGTTCATTCAGTGAGAACCTGCTATTGATAAACGTAATGTTAATTTATCTAAAAATGTCTATACTTTGTTTAACTTCATGTATAAAATATATTTTCTTATATTGTTGTTGTTGTTGTTAAGGGTTGTCAAGTCAGTTCCAAATCATAATGACCCTGTATAGGGTTTCCAAGAAGCAGCTGGTGAGTTTGAACCACAGATGTTGAGGTTCACAGTCCAGGGCTGATCCACAGCACCACACCGAGAGTCCTTCTTATATTGTTGTTGTTATGTGCCGTGGAGTCAGTTCCGACTCATAGCAACCCTGTATAGGGTTTCCGAGGCTGTAAATCTTTACGGGAGCAGAAAGCCTCATAGTTCTCTTGTGGAACAGCTGGTAGTTTCGAACTGCTGACCTGAGGTTTGCAGCCTGATTCATAACCACTATGCTACCAGAGCTCTTATATTAGGATCCAAATAATAAAAAAAGAAAATGTAAACAAATAGAAGCCCATAAAAGTTAGGCATACATATTTTTTAACTTCTATATTGCCCAAGACAGAAAGTTAAGAATGGAAAATGTTAATTACAGTAGGTGCTATAGTATGTGAAAGTTGACGATGAGATAGCTAAACATATCTAAGTGCCCATTATTGTTATTAAATCCGTTATGAAGCCCATTAAGAAAAAAATAACTTAATCTCAAAGTTGCTAGATAATATTCTCTTACATAGATTCTTCAAAGATTAAAACCTGATATTTATATGAAAATGATAATTTTATGAATAGTACTCAGATAATAAAACTAAGATCTCTTGTATTTGAGTATGTGAAATAGTCCATTCTTTTCTGTCCTGACTTTAACAAAACATAGGATCATCAAAAACAAAGACTAAAAGAGAAGAGCACTATTAACAAATCAATAGAAAACACACCAGTGCCTTCCCAAAATGAGTATGCCTAGATGAGAGACAAGTAGAATAGATAGAAACTGTCATGGTTAAGGCTTCCAAGTAAATGACCACACAAATATAATTTATTTTTCTTGGCTTTCTTTTGTCTTCAGTACCTGTTCCTGTGTAGTTGTACACAATCAATATATTGGAGCAGATTTCCCCTGGAGTCGTTTCTCATTTGTGGTAGAATACAATTATGCAGAAAACTCCTGCTGGACTGAGCACTGCGAGAAGTTGAATATACCTTATGTGGCCTTAAAAACGATTCTTCCAGACACAATTTTAAAGAGTAAGGATATAAACCACATCCTTTTTTGCTCCATTAGAATAAAAGTTTTCTTCTTTCTGTTTGTTGTCTATAAAAAGAATTATAAGTCATGACATTAGAAGACTTGAATCCAATTTCTAACCCCACATTTAACTGTGTGACTTTGAGCAAAACTGTCTCCTACATCAGTTGTAAAGTAGTTTTCTTTAGTTATAAAGTGGTTTTACTAATTATATTTGCCTTTGTCCCTTGATATAATTTCCAAGGTCTATTTATGAGAGTATAATTTTATTACAATTATATTCAATCTTAATCTAATACTTTTATACAATAGTATTTCTATTGGTGTTCAGAAAAAAAAACAAAACCATGTAACTGATTCAGAGAAATGTTGATATGCATCTAAATTATCCACTAATACTTAGAAATGACTTTAAAATCACCTCATATATCATTTGACTTCTTTGTATTTTTGAGAAGCACTTCATTTAGCAAAAGCTGCGAATTCTCCAGTCCATTAAATGAAAAAGTCCCTACATCTTTAGTTCCAGTTCATCTATCCTTCAATACTTTCCATAAGTTACTTTCTATTCACCTCAAGTATGAATTGAAAGTCTGAATAGATTCAGAGCCATCACAACTCAATTAAAAAAATTGGTCACCATAATTATTTATTTAGAATCACTGATGTGTAGTGTTTAGTGTTAAATGAATCACATAATTGAAAAAAAGAACCCAAAAGATATTAAAGATAAGAAGTATTCTGTAATTTAGTTTAACTAGTAAAAGATGTGTTCCTTGAGAATTACGCTTTTTTACAAACTATTTATTTGGAATAAAGTTGACAACAGCAATTTGTAAGAATATATAGGGGTCTTGGGGTGCAGTGAATTTCTGTAATGGGAGAGGAACAACTCGGAAAAGGAGGGTGAGAATGACTACATAACTCAAAGAATGTAATCAGTGTCACTAAATGGTGTATGTAGAAACTTGTGGTGTTTGTTTTGCTGTATATATTCTCAACAACATAACAAAATAAATCATATTTCACAGAAACACAGAGGTTAAGTCAAAAAGTATTCCTACAAAATCATGGAAACCTTTATTAAACAAAAATATGAAAATGTAAAGCTACTGTTACTTGACATATCCTCCATCTAGGTTTATACAGTTCTAAAATCGATGTTTCCACTTCTCCAAGCCTTCCTTGAAGAATTCTGTGTTCTTTGATTTATACCATGTCCAAACATCAGTTTTGGCATCCTCCGGGAACTCAAATTGTGTTCCTTTTCAGTGTTCTTTGAGTTTGGTGAATAAAAGGAAGTCTGAAGAGGCAAGATCAGGACTATGTGCTGGCTGGGTAAGTTCCCAGTGAAATTCTTATAGGACAACCTTTGCTACCATTGAAGAATGAGCAGGTACATTATTGACACGGGAAAAAAATTCCTTTGTGTGACTTTCCTGGCCTTTTTTTCACTAATGCAACTTTCAGTTTCCCTAAAATTTCTTCCAAATAAGTCCCTATGATCATTCTGTGTCCTTCAAGAAAATTTACCAAGGTTACTCCTTTGGAATCCCAGAAACAATTGTCATACTGTAGGCAGACTACTGCTGAATGTTTAGTAACTGAGAACTTTATGAATAGCAGTGGAACAGTGTCAGATACCACCAGAATATTGAATACTGAAACATAATGAATAGCACTAGAGTATTTTCAGATATAATGCTGGAAGATGAGCCCCTCAGGTTGGAAGGTGCTCAAAATATGACTGGGAAAGAGCTGCCTCCTCAAAGTAGAATTGACCATGATGACACGAATAAAGTAAAGACTTCAGGGCCTTCATTTGCTGAAGGGGCATAAGTCAAAATGAGGAGAAACAGTTGTAAATATCCATTTATAATCAGAATATGGAATATACTAAGTAGGAATCTAGGAAAATTGGAAGTTGTGAAAATGAAATGGAACATATGAAGATCAATATCCTAGGCATTAGTCAGCTGAAATGGACTGACATTGGCCGTTTTGAATCTAACAATCATATGGTTTACTATTCTGGGAATGACAAATTGAAGAGGAATGACATCACATTCATCATCAAAATAAACATTTCAAGCCCTATCTTGAAGTATAATGCTGTTTGTGATAGGGTAATATCCATACACCTACAAGGAAGACCAGTTAAAACCATTATTATTCAAATTTACACACCAACTACAAAGACAGTGATGATGAAATTGAATTTTACCAACTTCTTTGGTCTGAAATTTATCAAACATACAATTAAGATGTATTGATAATTACTGGTGATTGGAGTGCAAAAGTTGGAAACAAAGAGGAAGGATCAGTAGTTGGGAAATAAAGCCTTGATGATAGAAATGATGCTGGAGATCACATGAAAAATTTTGCAAGGCCAATGACTTCTTCATTGCAAATACCTTTTTAAAATAATATAAAAGATGCCTGACTATACACATGGATCTCACCTGACATAATACACAGAAATCATATTGATTACATCTGTGGAGAAAGATGGTGGAAAAGTTCCATATCAGCAGAAAAAACAAGGTCATGAACAAATTGTGGAACCAATCATCAATTGCTCAGATGCAAGTTCAGGCTGAAGAAAATTGGAACAAATCCACAAGAGCCAAAATATGACCTTAAACATATCTCACCTGAATTTAAAAAGCATCTCAAGAACAGATTTGATACATTCTACATTAATGACCAAAGACCAGAAGAGTTGTGGGATGACATCAAGAGCATCATACAAGAAGAAAACAAAAGGTCGTTAAAACAAAAAGGAGCAAAATGAATGTCAAAAGAGACTGAAATTTGTTCTCCAGTGTTGAGATGCTAAAGCAAATGAAAGAAATGAGGTAAAAGAGCTGAATAGAAAATTTCAAAGGACAGCTCAAAAGAAAAAGTCAAATATATTGAAATGTGCAAAGATCTGGAGTTAGAAAATCCAAAGGGAGGAACATGCTCAGCATTTCTAAAGCTGAACTGAAGTAAAAATCAAGCCTCAACTTTCAATATTGAAGAATTTTATGGGCAAAATATTGACTGGTTCAGAAAGCATCAAAGGAAGATACAGAGTCACTGTATCCCAAAAACAAATGGTCAATGTTCAGCCATTTCAAGAGCTAGCATATGATCAAGAGCTAAAGATACTGAAGGAAGAAGTCCAAGGTGCACTGAAGGCATTGACAAAGAACAAGACTTCAGGGTTTGTTGGAATACAGATTGAAATCTTTCAACAAACTGATGCAGCACTGGAAGCACTTACTCATACTATGCCAAGAAATTTGGAAGACAGCTACCAACAGATTGCACCAACTCCAAAAAGAGGTGACTCAACAGAATGCAGAAATCATTGGACAATATCATTAATATCACATGAAGTAAAATTTTGCTAAAGGTAAGTACATTGACAGAGAACTGCCAGAAGTTCAAGCCATATTTAGACAAGGATGTGAAACAGGTACATCACTGATGACATCAGATGGATCTGAGCTGAAAGCAGAGAACACAAGAAAGATGTTTGTTGTTGCTGTTGTTAAGCGCTGTCAAGTAGGTTCCAACTCATAGCAACCCTGTATAGGGTTTCTGAGCCTGTAAATCTTTGCAGGAGTAGAAACCCTTATCTTACTCCTATGGAGTGACTGATGAGCCTGAACTACTGACCTTGTGGTTCACAGTTCAGTGCTTATCTTACAGACCCACTGTGCATTATTGAGTATGCAAAGGCTTTCGACAGTGTAGATTGTGAAAAGCTGATCTTTCTGTCTTGAATTCAGTTGGCCCAGCAGATACCATCAAAAGCTACTATATTAATTAGACCTTGCTTTCTGAAAAATATTGATAAATTAAAAACTCTTCCCTGGTTACAATTTGTTCCATAAAAGCATCCTTATTAGCTTCAGTCTTGCTCAGAGACTTATGGAGTGATCAGCTGTTTAAACTAGTTGATCTTTACACTGTTTTTGGCACCCATTCAGCCAAAAACTTGCTGAGGCCAACATGTTGACTTAAAATTGAGAATACCAAACCATGTGAGATCCCAACTTCAGTAGCTATTGCATCTATGATAAGACTAGTCTTCTTCCACCGGTTTCTGGTCTTCAGTTATCATTTGCTGAGGCTGACAGACTTCCTTCTCTTTGAAGTCTTCCTGACCTTCTTTAAAACACTTGAATCATCTGAAAATTTTTGTCTTATGTGGGGCAATATTCCTATAAGCTTTTTGCAAAGCTTCAATGATTTGGGAAGACATTCACTTGAATTTTGTTGAAAATTTGGTATTAGTCTAAAACTCATTTTTTGCATGGGACAAAAGGTATCTTTTTTTTTTTTTTTGTAAGGTACCTTAATAAGACTTAGACAAGTGTTTTACTGAGAGAACTTATCGACAGCCATCGACAGATTACAGAGACATACTTAAACATATTATGTTGGGAATAAATTTGTGCATGTATGAACAGGAACCCTAGTAGCAATATTTTTTTACTTTCTCTCATACATGTGAGGGGGCTTCAAAACATTCATGAAAAAAAATCCATGTTTTAAATGGGAGATATATATATATATATAATCTTTCTTTACACATATATATGTAAAAGATAAGTATTCTAGGGTACACCAGATACTGTTTCACTTTCAGCAAGCAAGATTGTATCATCTGCGATTCGCAGGTTGTTAATGAGTCTTCCTCCAATCCTGATGCCACATTTTTCTTCATATAACCCAGCTTCTCAGATTATTTGCTCAGCATACAGGTTGAATAAATATGGTAAAAGAATACAACCTTGTCGCACACGTTTCTTAATTTTAAACCATTCAGTGTTCCCATGTTCAGTTTGAACAACTTCCTCTTGGTCCATGTACAGATTCCTCATAAGTGTTCAGGAATACTCATACTTCTCAATGTTTTCCAAAGCTTGTCATGATCCACACAATCGAAAGCATTTGCTTAGTCAATAAAGCAAAGGCAAACATCTTTATGATATCCTCTGCTTTCAGCCAAGATCCACTGGATATCAGCAATGATATCCCTCATTCCATGTCCTCTTCTGAATCCGGCTTGAACCTCTAAAGTTCTCTGTCAAATTATACTTGCAGCCATTTCTGTATTACCTTTAGTAAAACTTGACTCACATGGAATATCAAAGATACTGTCCAATGATTTCCACATTCCATTGTAGTATTAATACTTTAAATCTTTAGCAAAATTATAGGTAGAATATATTTTAAAGTTGCATTGATTGGCATATTATTAATTATCTTTTCATATATAAATGCATTTTATGCACCCATTCTTTTGTAAATTGCCTGTTTATATCATTTGCCCATTTTTCTGTTTAGGTATTTATGTCCTGTTGACCTCTGAAAGGCTCTACCTAAGAATTACTGCATATAATTTAAATTTTTTATGCATACCAGTATCTGTTGCACAGCAAATATTCAGTGTATGTTGTTGTTGTTGCTATGTGCCGTGGAGTCGGTTCTGACTCATAGCGACCCTGCATAGGGTTTCCAAGGCTGTAAATCATAACGGGAGCAGAAAGGCTCATCTTTCTCCTGCGGAACAGCTGGTAGTTTTGAACTGCTGACTGTGAGATTAGTGGCCCAATTCATAACAACTACACTACCATAGTGATCCTATATAATGTTTTCAAGGAGCAAATACTGAGCTTGAACCACAGACCTTACAGTTCAAATGACTTTACAGTCCAGACCATTAACCCACAGCAGCACACCAGGACTCCTAGCTTCTGGTTGCTGTTAAGTACCGTGGACTCGGTTCCAACCCATAGTGACCCAGCACAGGGTTTCCAAGGCTGTAAATCTTTACGGAAGCAGAAAGCTTCATCTTTCTCTCGTGGAATGGCTGGTAGTTTTGATCTGCCAACCTTGAGGTTAGCAGCCCAATTCATAACCGCTAGGCTACCAGAGCTCCAGGCAATTCAGTGTATACATAGGTGAATAATGAAGGTTTTACCCTTTAATATTTCAGGTAAACTGTAATTCTCATTCCTTTTGATTTATTTAAACATACTGTTTTTGTAAGTGCTATAGAGTCATTTCTGACTCATAGTGACTCTGTACAGGGTTTTCTGAGGAGCAGGTGGTAGGTTTGAACCACTGATCTTTTTTATTTTTTTATTTTTTTTATATGTTTTATTGTGAGTTATATGATAGTTTACATGAGAGAACCTCAGTTCCATATTCATTCCATCGTATATCATTACATTGCCATGGTTCCAATCCCCTCCATGCATCGTCTTCCGACCAAAGGGCATATCCTAGAAACCCGTGCTCTACACTCCCCCCTCCCCCCTCAGTCTTCGGCCCACAGTTGAACCACTGATCTTGTGGTTTGCAGTCTAATACTCATCCTACAGTGCCACATGTAGAAAAAAGTCCAGAAGTATATACTAAGCTCTTCTATTTCTAGGTAGTAGGATAACATATGATGTTTATTTTCTTTTTCAGGTCATTCTTTATTGTGATTGTCATCTATTTATTTTTTGTACTATTTTTGTATTAAATATCCCTGGTAGTGTTCTGGGTTGTGCATTGGGCTGCTAACTGCTAGGTCAGCAATTCGAATCTATGAGCAACTCTTCAGGAGAAAGATTTACAGCCTTGGAAACACTATACAGAGTCTCTATGAGTCAGAACAGATTCAACGGCACACAACCATCACTACCACAACCATTTTTATGCTACGTTGTGAACATACACCTATTATTTCCATGTTTAGTAAAAAAGAAAAAAAAAAGAACTGAGGGAAAATAAAAAATGAAATATTTATACATTTCCTCTTATTTAGGAAGCAACTTGCTGGATAAATTCAGTGGTTTTCTTTTGGAAATTCAGATTCCATATGTGTTTTTTGCATCTGAAGGACTTCTTAATACTCCAGAAATACTTCAGCTGTTAGAATCCAAGTAAGTTATTGATTTATAACTTTAGCAAAGCTATATATATGTTATATATGTATATGCATATCTTGATAGACTAATATTTTGCCTATATATGTGGCAAATTTTTGCTCTGACTCAGACCAGGAATTATATTTTATCAGAACAGTTTTCCAGAGAGTTTATGTAAACATATACTTCTCTCAATATAGTGCACATTCATAATTATTGAATATTACCTTTTTTTATATAATGGAGTCCTGATGTGGTGCTGCGGGTTAATGCCCCAGACTGCAAAGCCGTTTGAACTGCAAGGTCAGTTGTTCAAGTTCACCAGCCACTCTTAGGAAACCATATACAGGGTCACTATGGGTCAGAACCGACTTAATGGCACTTCACAACAACAGCAACACCTTTTATAATATTTACCATTTTAAAAACAATAAATGATGATATTTCATTAGTTTAAATTTATATTTTATTTGCCTTTTTCTATTATTTCTAGTAAAATGAGCATTTTATGTAGTTTTTCCTTTAAATTGTGTGTTCACTTCATTGGGTCACGGATCATATTGAGTATGAGTATTGTTTTGTTATTGTTTGTTGTTGTTGTTGTTGTTGTTAGGTGCCATCGAGTCATAACTGACTCATAGTGACCCCATGCACAGCAGAACGAAACAATGTCCGATCCTGGGCCAACCTCACTACCGCTGCCACACTTGAGTCCATCAATGATGCCACCTGGCCAATCCATCTCGTTGGGGTCTTCCTCTTTTTCTCTGACCATCCATCTTACCAAGTATGATATGCTTCTCTACGACTGTTCTCTCCTGACAATGTGTCCAAATATGAGAGACGAAGTTTGGCCATCTTGGCCTCTAAGGAGCATTTTGGCTGCACTTCTTCCAAAACAGATCTATTGTTTCTTTTGGCAGCCCATGGCACTTTCAGTATTCTCCTCCAACACCATAATTCAAAGGCATCAATTCTTTTATGATTTTCCTTATTCACTGTACAACTTTCGCATCCATATGAGGTTATTGAAAATGCCATGGCTTGGGTCAGGCGCACCTTAGTCCTCAACCTGACATCTTTTCAACATTTTTAAATGTTCCTGTGCAGCAGATTTGCCTGATGCAATACGTCATCTGATATCTTGACTGTTGCTTCCGTGAGTGTTGATAGTTGATCCAAGAAGAATGAAGTCCTTGACAACTTCAATCTTTTCTCCGTTGATAAAGGTCCAGTGGTGAGGATTTTTGTTTTCTTGACATTGAGATGTAATCCATACCGAAGGCTGTGCTCTTTGATCTTCATCAGTAAATGTTTTAAGTCCTCTTCACGTTCAGCAAGCAAGGTTGTATCATCTGCATATTGCAGGTTGTTAATGATTCTTCCTCCAATCCTGATACCATGTTTTTCTTCACAGAACCCAGCTTCTCATATTATTTGCTCAGCATACAGGTTGAATAAGTATAGTAAAAGAATGCAACTTTGTCGCACACCTTTCTTAATTTTAAAACATTCAGTGTTCTCATGTTCTGTTCAAACAACTGCTTCTTGGTCCAGGTACAGATTCCTCATGAGTATAATTAAGTGTTCTGGAATACTCATACTTCACAAGTTGTCCATAGCTTATCATGATCCACACAATCGAAATTGTTAGATACTGTCAAATTGTTTCCAACTCATTGTCAACCCCATGTACAACAGAACAAAATGCTACCTGGTTCTGTGCTATCTTCACAATCATTGACATATTTAAGCTCATTGTTATAGCCACTGTGTCAGTCCATCTCGTTGGGGACCTTCCACTAGTTTACCAAGCATAATATTTTTCTTTAGTGACTGGTACTTTCTGATAACATGTCCAAAGTAAGTAGACTTTGGTCTACTGCCCTCACTTCTAAGGAACTTGCTTGTTGTACTTCCACCAAGACAGATTTGTTTTGTTCTTCTGTCTGTCCATAGTATATTCATCAACACCATAATCCAAAGGCATCCATTATTCACGCTTCCTTATTCATTATACAGCTTTCACAGGCATATGAGGTGATTGGAAATACCATGGCCTGGGTCAATCACACCTTAATCCTCAAAGTGATATCTTGAGTGATAAAAATGTCTTCTGCTGCAGATTTACCCAGTGCAATCTGTTTATTCATGACTGCTGCTTCCATGGGCATTGTGCTTACAAGTAAAATGAAATCCCTGATAACTTCAATCTTTTCTATGTGTATCATGATTTGCTTATTGGTCCAGTTGTGAGATTTTTGTTTTCCTTATGTTGGGGTATAATCCATAATGGAGGCTGTAGTTTTGATCTTCAACAATAAGTACTTCAAGGTTTCTTCAGTTTCAAGCAAGCAAGTTTGTGCCATCTGTATATTGCAGATTATTAACGAGTCTTCCTATAGTCCAGATTATTTGCTCAGCATATAGATTGAATAGGTATGGTGAAAGGATACACCCTGACACCCAACTTTCATACCTATAAACCATGCAGTATCCCCTCGTTATATCTTTTAAAAAAAACACAAAACTGCTTCTTAGTGTATGTATAGGTTCTACATGCACACAATTAAGTGTTCTGGAATTTCCATGCTTCTCAGTGTTATCTATAGTTTATTATGATTCACACCGTCCAGTGCATTTGTGTAGTCAATAAAACATAAGTAAACATCTTTCTGATAGTCTCTTTTTCAGTCAAGATCCATCATCAACAATAATATATCCTGTGTTCCATGTCTTCTTCTAACTCCAAATTGAATTTTTGGCAATTCCCTATTAATGTAGGAGAGGGCTTCAAAAAAAAGTTTGTAGAAAAATTACATCATCTTTTAATTTCATTTTTCTGTGAACTTTTTGAAGCCCCCTATACTGTTATAATCACTTTTAAATGATCTTCAGCATAGTTTTACTTGCCTGTGATATTAATGACTTTGATGATTTAAAGGTTCCATTAACACACCCTTCTTTGGAATGAGCACAGATATAGATCATCTTCTTTTGATGATTCCTTCATCTTTCAGTTTTTTTCCATAGACTCCTTCAATACAATATTGCAACTTAAAGTTTGGATCTTTTTTCTTTGAGCTTGGGAAAACCAAGTTTGTTCTTCCTTTTTGGTTTTCTAACGTCAAGTCTGCACATTTCATTATAATACTTTGTCTTCTTACTCAGTCATTTGAAAATTTTTGTTCAACTATTTTACTTCATCATTTCTTCCAGTTTACCTACTCTGTATTTAAGAGCAAATTTCAGAGTCTTTTCTGGCAAACATTGTGATCGTTTCTTTTTCTACTATCTATTAATGACCTTTTGCTTTCTCATATATGATGTCTTTGGTGTCATCCCATAATCATTTCATCTTCAGCAGTTTGTATACAGTGCATCAAATCTGTTGAGATGGTCTGTAAATTTAGGTAGGATATATTCTAGGCTGTACTTTGCTTCTCAGGGATTTAGTTTTCTTCAGCTTCAACTTGAACTTGAATATGAGCAATTAATGGCCTGTTCCTGTTAGCCTCTGGCCTTGCTTGACTGATGACATTGAATTTTATAATCTCTTTATACAGAAGTAGAAATACATTCCGTCTGGTGAGGTCCGTGTGTATAGTTGTAATTTATCTTGTTGAAAAGTGATATTTCTAATGAATAACTCATTTGATTTTACAAAGTTCTATCAGATTATCTCTGGTGTCATTTCTGTCATCAAGGTCATACTTTCCAACACCTGATCTGTGTTTTCAACTTTCACATTCCAGTCACCAGTATTTATCAATGCATTTTGATTGCATGTTAGATTAATTTCAGACTGCAGAAATTGGTAAAAATCTTAAAATGTTCTTTTTAATGATAAATGTAACTCCATTTCTCTTCTACTTATCATTTCTGGCTTTGTAGTCCATATGAATGTGTGATTCAAAATGGCTAATATCAGTCTATTTCAGCTCACTAATGCTTAGGAACAAGTCTATATTGGTAGACGTACAGCTGGAATATTCCTGAGAGGGGAGGATGAAGAGATTTCATCTCACATACTTTGGACATGTTATCAAGAAGGACCAGTCCCTAGAGAACATAATTCTTGGTAAAGTAAAGGGTCAGCAAAACAGAGAAAGCCCCTTAACACGATGCAATGGATGCAACAATGACCTCAAGTAACAAATATGAGGATGGTGCAGGACTGGGCATTGTTTAGTTGTTACATCAAGGGTCTCTAGATTCAGAACCTACTCCATAGCACCAAACAACAACAGCAACAATGCCTACGATATTGATCTTCATGTGTTCCATTTCATTTTTCACAATTTCCAGTTTTGCTTGTTTCATACTTTGTACAGTCCATATTCCAATTACTAATGGGTGTTTGTAGCTGCTGCTTCTAATTTTTGAATAATGCCTCGTTAGCAAATTAAGGTCCTGAAAGCTTTATTCCATCCCCATCATTAAGGTCATCTCTAATATGAGGAGTCAGCTTTTCCCCAGTCATATTTTGAACATCTTTCAACTTGAGGGGCTTATATTCTAACACTATACCAGACAATGCCCTGCTGCTATCCTTAAGGTTTTCAATGGTTTGTTGGTTTTTTTTGTTTTTTTTTTTGTTTTGTTTTGTTTTTTTAAGTATATTGCTAGTTCCTTCTTCTTAGTCTGTTGTAGACTGGAAGCTCTTCTGAAAGCTGTCCACCATGGATGACTCTGCTGATATTTGAAGTATCAGTGGCATAGCTTCCAGCATTACAGCAACACACAAGACACCACAGTATAACAACTGACAGACACGTGGTGGATTTTTGTTTGTTTGTTTGTTTTAATGTACACCAAAGCACTCAGGAATATATAACCATTCAAACAACCAAAGGGTATACCCTGCATGCCAGCCGCCAGGCTGCCAGCATACAGCCCCTCTCCCTCCTGAGTCTAGAGTCTCCAGCTGCTCTGTCTCTCCACGTCATCATCTCTGCCTCCAGCTCTGGCTAACTCAGGGTTTGTTTGTTTGTTTTTTCAGGCTAGGTTATTCTTTTTTTTTTTTTTTTTGCCACATTTATTTCTGTCCCACTTAGCCTATGCGAACCTGCCTAACTGTTCTCCCATCAGCCTTGTTCTTTGATTCCCCTCTTCCTTCTTGTGTATTGCCCCCATCCCTTCCCCACACCCAAGGTATCCTGTGTCTATTCCTTACCCTTCCCTCCCTCCTCTCCTCTCAGCCCATACATCCTAGTGATCAGCAAATATATATATAATTTTCCCCTTTTATTGTGGGTTCTTTTTCATGCTCTTACAATAATGGTCTTATGCAGTATATCTCCTTTTGTGACTAATTTCACGTAGCATTATATCCTCAAGATTCATCCATGTTATGTGGTGACTTGCAGCTTCCTTGTTGTTCTTCAAGGTAGCATAATATTCCATTGTGTGTCTGTACCACAGTTTTTTTTTATCCAGTTTTCCATTGATGAGCACTTAGGCTATCTTCATCGTTTTGCTATTGTAAATAGTGCTGCTGTGAACATTGGTGTGCATATATCTACTCGTTATGGCTCATAGTTCTTGGGGGTAAATACCAAGTAGAGGGATTTCTGGATCATAAGGTATTTCTATTTCCAACCTTCTGAGGGAGCGCCATATTGCTTTCCAGAGAGGTTGGACCATTTTGCAATCCCACCAGCAATGTAGGAGTGTCCCAGTCTTTCCACATCCTCGCCAGCACTTAGTGTCCTCTACCTTTTTGATCTTTGTTGTTATTGCTGGTGTGAGATGATATCTCATTGTTGTTTTGATTTGCATCTCTCTAAATGATCATAAACATTTCTTCATATGTTTCGTTGATGAAATGTCTGTTCATGTCCTGTGCCCATTTTTTAATTGGGTTGTCTTTTTCTTGTAGAGGTGTTGTAGCTTCCTATATATTTTAGAAATGAGTCCCTTGTAAGTGGTAGATTTTTGTTTTCCCCAAACACCTGTTGCTGTTGAGTCAATTGTCATTCACAGCAGCCCTGTTGTTGTTGTTAAGTGCCTTCGAGTCAGTTCCGACCCGTAGCGATCCTGTACAGGGTTTCTGAGGCTGTAAATCTTTACGGGAGCAGAAACCCTCATCTTTCTCCCGTGGAACGGCTGGTAGTTTCGAACTGCTGGCCTTAAGGTTCGCAGCCCGATTCGTAACCACTACGCTACCAGAGCTCCTTACTGTAACCCTAGAGGACAGAATAAAACTGTCCCACAGGGTTTCTATTCCCAAGATTATAATCTTTATGAAAGCAAACTGCCACATCTTTTTCCCATGGAGCAGTTGATGAATTCTAACTGGGACCTTTTGATTGGCATCTGAGCACTTAACCACTATGGCACCAGGACTTCCTGGATTCTTGTTTATAAGATTTTTAAATACTGGCAAGAAACAGGACCATGATAGTCTAAATGTATGCTCAAGTTTTAAATTTCAGTTCTAAGGTTATACCAACACTGAGCATTTTAAAATCATAAAACACTTTGTCGTAGCACACAAGTTGTCACAAGAATGTTGGACATTAAGGTACATATCAAAGAATTAAACAGAGAAATTCTCTTCAAAATCTATATAGGTTGGAAATTAAGATGTATAAATTCTTTTCTAAAATCTCCATTTTCTTGTGAACTTGGTTAAAAGGCAGATTTATTTTGCATGTTTTTATTGTTATATCTTAAGACCTTAAGGTATTCACAGAAATCTCTGAGCTTATAAAACATATTTAAAGTGTTGGCTAATATTAAGAGAAACTAAAATTTTGATATATGCAACATTTGTTTAGTTTTATAATATTTAGATATAGTACATTATTGATTTAAAGAGCTGGTATAAATTGATTGAGACATGTGTAATAATAATTTGTACAGTAATATTTCATAAAACACCTAAAGAAATATATATCCCAAATAATTTGTTTCATATGTTAAATAATCATTTTATTCCTCAAATTTATATAATAGAATAAGTTCGTGGATTAAAGAGAAAACACAGCAGTTGAAGTAATGCACAGCATTACAGCTTTGTGCTCCTGCATATTAAGTTAACTATTGTATAATATTTCTTAGCCATTTTATTCTCTCACCTAATACTGTATTTTACAGCTATAATATCACAGTAGTGGAAAGAAGCTGTAGTGAGTCGTTGAAACTCTTTGGAGGTACAGAGCATTATGCATTGATGACAGTTGATGAACACACCGCCATAATTTTGCAGGTAAAACTATACAATAAAACATATAAATTCAAATGTATTTAAAAATATATACCCATGCAATTTATTGTTTAACTTTTTAAATAGAGAGCTTAATTATAATCTATTAGTTATTTTTTCCAAACCTTTGCCAATGGGAGAAAAACTGTTGTCATCAAGTTGTTTCCAACTTCTAGTAACCCTGTAAGACTGAGTACAATTGCCCCGTAAGGTTTTCTTAGGCTGCAATCTTTAGGGAGAGTCCTGGTGTGTCTCTGCAGATTAATGAGCTGCATTGCAAGGTCAGTTTGAACTGCAAGATCGGCGGTTCAAGCTCACAAGTCGCACCTTGGAAACCATGAGTTGCTATGAGTCAGAACTGACTTGGTGGCACTTAACAACAACAACAATCTTTAGGGAAGCAGACTTTCAAATCTTTGTCCTGAAAAGTTGCTGGTGGATTCAAATTGCTGACCTTTAAGGCAGCAGTTGAGCAAATGTGCTCTAAGTGCTAAAAATATCTATCACTTTGGAAAATGACTATTAACAAGTTTCTTCTATGCCTTATCATTTTAAACACTCTTTAAGATGGCAAACCAATATTTAATATTTTATTATTGTATTGATCTGATTTTAAATACATTTGTAGCATAATCATAATATTGAAATTCTTTAAAATCTAATTCCAGCCACTGTATGGTGCTATAGGATCAACACAGGACTGCAAACCACAAGATTGGCGTTTCCAACCCACCAGCTGCTGCTCAGAAACCTTATACAGGGTCAATATAAGTTGGTACCGACTCAATGGCACTTAAAAACAACAACAGCAATATTTCTTTTTTAAAACTTTTTATTTTGAATTATGTGGTCGTTTACATGGAAGAACATTAGCTTTATGCTCATCCTTTCATATTTCATTGCATTGCAATGATTACAATTCCCTGCATACATCATCAAACAACCAAAGGGTACACCTTGCAAGCCTACCCCTGGGCCATCAACACACAAACACACTCTCTCGAGAGTCCCCAGCTGCTCCATATCTCCATGTCATCATCTCTGCCTCCATCTCTGGTGTTGCTGCTTCCCTGGATAGGGTCCCCCACTCTACTCTTCTCCCTTGATGGTCCCAAGGACCTCTGCTCCTGGACTGCAAAATGAATCACTCCCTTCTTTTTGTTAACAAAACATCTACCATTACATTTCCAACACTCACAGTCAGGCTTGAAAGCAGTCATTCACTATTGAACCACAAGAGTCTTATCCCCATCTCTTTTCATCAGCACCATCCAGACAGGTTGAAAACCATTCAATGGAGATTCTACCTTCCCCCACACCTTCTGGAACTAGGTTCCCTCTTGAAAACTTGTAAGCCAGTGACTTCTTGCCTTTGTAGCCACCCCATTTTGGGTAGCCAATGTCTAAGTTGCCCATTTTGTCGACACTGTATACCGAAGGGGTGGGAATGATCCTCACTGCAAAGATTTTTTCACTCCTTTGAGCTAGTACATCCACAAGCATAGGTCAAGTTCATCAAATTGTAGCAGATTACACTTTTTTTCCTCTACTTTCTTCCTCTAGTCGAGTTCTGGTATCCACCCATTGAAGCCAGGTCAAGTGGTAACTATCTGCAAGTATGGGTATTCTTGTGTGTCCCCCCTCACTTCATATTAGCCAGACGCTTCACTGTCTGCCCCTGTCCTCTGTGGCCATGTCCCTGTCCCTGGGCCCAGGAGTCCTAGGTCTTGCCATACTGATGGCCAACCAGGTCTCAGTCTGGGTTCACAGGAGTCTATGGAATATAGTTGGACTTAGCTCACAACTTCATTGCTGTTCTTCCCCCACTTCCCCTTATTGGTGAACAGTGTGGTTAGCAACAAGACCACGTGCCTACTTGTGTATTCCCCTTGAGTCTCAGGCTTGGAAGGGGGTTTTCCTTGAGGGGACCCAACCCCTTGCCTTGATGGCTTCCAGGTGAGCAACTTGCTTGTTCTTGTAGTAGTCAATAAACTGTCATTATTGTTTTTTTTTTTTTCCTGCTGGTCTTTCTTTCAAGAAGTATCTGCTGTTCTTTTAGCTGCTCCAGGCTGGTCTGCTTGTCCTTTCACTGGAAATGTCCCACCTCAAAAGGTTCAGGATGATGATCAGGATTCCACCTATGGTCTTATGCAATGCAAAGGCTCCACAGGAAGCCTCCTTCACTGGGCAAGTTCTAGCCCCGTTTTAGGTATTACAATCAGTTATAGGCTGAAAATGGACTTACAAGCTTTCTATGGTGATGTTTCTGACTATTCCTTTCTCTCCCCATCATGTATCTATTTTACAATAGTAGATAAGGGAAACCAAAATTCAAAAGACAGCCAAGCATCTTAACATTATTTTCCCTCTTATACCCATTTAAACCATGCCTCAATCCCTGTATCCCAGAGCCCTGTTGTTCCAAGGTTGTACATACATTATTATTAAACTCTATTTCACTTAGCCCATGTAAACCTGCCTAACTGTTCTCCCATCTGCCTTGTTCTTCCAGTCCCCTCCCCTTTCTAGTATGTCCACCCCCCCAACACCCAAATTATCCTGTGTCTGTTCCCTACCCTGTACTCCACCTTCCCCTCCATTCCCTCATACCACCCCATACACCCCGGTAACCAACAAAGAATTTTTCCCCCTTTTAGTGAGAGTACTTTTTCTTAATCTTTTACAACATGATCCTATGCAATATTTCACCTTTTGTGACTAATTTCACTCAGCATAATGTCTTCAAGGCTCATCCATGTTATGCGGTGGTTGCAGCTTGTTGTTCTTCAAGGTAGCATAGAATTCCATTGTGTGTATGTACCACAGTTTGTTTATCCATTCTTCCATTAATGGGCACTTAGGCTGTCTCCATCTTTTTGCTATTGTAAATAGTGCTGCTATGAACATTGGTGTGCATTTATCTACTCGTGTTACGGCTCGTATTTCTTGTGGTTAAAGACTAAGTAGAGGAGTTGCTGGATCATAAGGTATCTCTATTTCCAACCTTCTAAGGAAGCACCATATTGTTTTCCAGAATGGTTGGACCATTTTACAATCCAACCAGTAATGTAGGAAGGTCACAGTCTCACCACATCCTCGCCAGCTATTATTGTCCTCTACTTTTATGATCTTTGCTATTATTGCTGGTGTGAGATTATATCTCAGTGCTGTTTTGATTTCCATATCTCTAATGGCTAGTTTTATAATATTTAGATTATAATATCTGCTGGGTTCTATGAAGAAAAACGTGGCATCAGGATTGGAGGAAGACTCATTAACAACCTGCGATATGCAGATGATACAACCTTGATCGCTGAA